CCCCTTTTTGTCCCCCCATGTCCCCCCCTTTTCCCCGTCCTGTGCCCCCCTTTTGTCCCCCCCTTTTGCCCCCGTTTCCCCCTCTTCATCCCCTCTTTGTTCCCCCTTTTCTCCCCCCTTTTGTCCCCCAGTGTCCCCCCTTTGTTGCCCCTCCCATGTCCCCTCTTCATCCCCCTTTGTCCCCTTTTTGTCCCCCCCTTTGCCCCCCATGTGCCCTCTTATGTCCCCCCCATGTCCCCCCCTTTCTCTCCCCCTTTTTCCCCCCCGTGTCCCCTGGGAATGTCCCCAAATCCCCCATGTCCCCAAATCCCCAATCCAACCAAAGCCCCCCTGTGTCCCCTCCTTTTTGTCCCCCCCTTTGGCCCCCATGTGCTCTCTTTGTCCCCCTTATGTCCCCCACTTTTTCCCCCCCGTGTCCCCCAGGATGTCCCCAAACGCCCTGGGGCTGTTTCCCATCCCCCCCCTGGGGGTGTCCCTGTCCCTTCCCCCCCCCCCCCCAGGACGGGGGGGGGGGGGTCTCCACTGCTGTCCCCTCCCCCCCCCCAGTGCTCTCGGGCTCCGGGGACCCCCAGGATGAGGAGTGGGACCTGATCGGGCACCTGGCCACGGCCTGCAGCGGGGTCCTGGAGGCCATCGCCCGTGGGGGTGAGGGGTTTGGGGGCTTTGGGGGGGATTTGGGGGATTTAGGGGAGTTTGGGGGCATTTGGGGGGATCTGGGGGATTTAGGGGAGTTTGGGGGCATTTGGGGGGGATTTGAGGGGGTTTTGGGAGGGTTTGGGGGGGATTTGAGGGTCCTGGAGGCCATCGCCCGCGGGGGTGAGGGGTTTGGGGGGGATTTGGGGGGGATCTGGGGGATTTAGGGGAGTTTGGGGAGGATTTGAGGGGGTTTTGGGAGGGTTTGGGGGGGATTTGAGGGTCCTGGGGGCCATCACCCGCGGGGGTGAGGGGTTTGGGGGATTTGGGGGGGATTTAGGGGGTTTAGGGGGATTTAGGGGCATTTGGGGGGGATTTGAGGGGGTTTGGGGAGGGTTTGGGGGGGATTTGAGGGTCCTGGAGGCCATCGCCCGCGGGGGGTGAGGGGTTTGGGGGGATTTGGGGAGGATTCTGGAAGCTGGGAGAGTTTCGGGGGGTCTTAGGGGGGGTTTGGAGGGGATTGGTGGGGCTTCGAGGGGGTTTTGGGGGACTTTGGGGGGCTTGGGGGCTTTAAGGGGGTTTGGGGAGGGTTTTGGGGGTCCTGGAGGCCATCGCCCATGGGGGCGAGGGGATTTGGGGGCTTTGGGGGGTTTTGAGATCATTTAGGGGGGATTCAGGGGGATTTGGGAGGAATTAGGAGGGATTTTGGGGGGCTTGAGGGGGAATTTGGGGTCCTGGAGCCATCGCCGGGAGGGATTTTTGGAGCTCGGGGGGTTTTGGGTGGATTTGTGGTATTTTTTGGGGGGGTCTCTGGGGGTGTGGTGACAATGAGGAGGGGTCTCAGCACCCCCTAATTTGGGACCCCTCCCCAAATTCCCCCTCCCCAGGGCACCAACTCCGGGAGCTCCCCCAGCAGAGCCCGAGCCCGGCTGAGGATGAGTATGGAGGGAATGGGGGGGACTTGGGGGGGGTCTGGGGGGGTCCCCATGAGGGTCCCACCCCCTCCTGATCCCCCCCCCTCACCCCCGCAGGTCCCAGAGGCTCTCGGAGAAGGTGGCGCAGCTGGAAACGGCCCTGAAACGGCTGCAGGAGGTGGGGGGGACTGGGGGGAACTGGGGGGGACTGGGGGGGAATGGGGGGGAATGGGAGGGAAATGGGAGGGAAATGGGAAGGAAATGGGAGGGACTGGGGGGAACTGGGAGGGAAAACAGAGGGGGCTGATCTGAGGGGTCTCAGGGGTCTCTGTGGGTTGGGGTCTCTGAGTTGAAGTCTCTGTGGTTTGGGGGTCTCACGGGGGTCTCTGGGTTGGGGTCTCTGGGTTGGGGTCTCACGGGGGTCTCTGGGTTGGGGTCTCTGGGTTGGGGTTTCTCTGGGTTGGGGTCTCAGTGGGTTGGGGTCTCATGGGGGTCTCAGTGGTTTGGGGGGGTCTCACGGGGGTCTCTGGGTTGGGGTCTCTGTGGTTTGGGGTCTCAGGGGGGTCTCTGGGTTGGGGTCTCTGGGTTGGGGTTTCTGTGGGTTGGGGTCTCTGGGTTGGGGTCTCTGTGGGTTGGGGTCTCACGGGGGTCTCTGGGTTGGGGTCTCACTGGGGTCTCTCTCTCTCTCTCTCCTCTCCCCCCAAGGTCAGGACCCTCAGCAGCGGCTCCAGGGGCTCTGTGGTGGTGCCCGGCGGCTGCTGCGACCCCCGGGGACCCCCGAGAGCCCCCCCTGAACCCCCCTGACCCCCCCCATCCATCCCCGCGACCCCCAGACCCCCTCCCCTTGGGGAACCCACCCTGACCCCCCGGAGATCCCCCCCAGGACCCCTTGAAACCCCCCCCAAGGACCCCCTGACATCTCTCAGGACCCCCAGACCCCCGCCCACCTTGGGGACCCCCAGAGGTGTCCCCCAAACCCCCCCCCCCGAGGGCTGTGGGACCCCGCAGGACCCGGGGACGCCCCCCCCATCCCCCCCCATCCCCCCCCCGCTAACTGTGAAACTGAAGCTGTGAGGACCCCCCCCCGTGTCCCCTCCCCCTCCATGTGACACCCCCCCCCGTGGTCCCCTCCCCCTCCATGCGACACCCGGACCCCCCCCCCGTGTGTGTCCCCCCCCCCCCCCTCCATGCAACACTGGAACACCCTCAGGGCCCCCCCCCCCCCAAATGTGACGATGTGACACTGGGACCACCCCCCAAAAGTGACACTGGGACCCCCCCAAAAGTGACACTGGGACCACCCCCAAAAGTGACACTGGGACCACCCCCCATGTGTCGTTCCCCCCGCCAAAAGTGACACTGGAAGACCCCCATGCCCCCCCCCATGTGACAATGTGACACTGGACCCCTCCCCCCAAAAGTGACACTGGACCCCTCCCCCCCCCCCCCAATAAAAACCCTTCGGCCTCGGCAGCGCCAGCAGTGACTGGGGGGGACAATGGGGGACAATGGGGGACAGTGGGGGACAGTGGGGGACAGTGGGAGACAATGGGGGACAATGGGGGACAGTGGGGACAATGGGGGACAGTGGGGGACAGTGGGGGACAGTGGGAGACAATGGGGGACAATGGGGGACAGTGGGGGACAATGGGGGACAATGGGGGACAATGGGGGACAGTGGGGGACAATGGGGGACAATGGGGGACAGTGGGGGACAGTGGGGGACAGTGGGAGACAATGGGGGACAATGGGGGACAATGGGGGACAGTGGGGGGACAATGGGGGACAATGGGGGACAGTGGGGGACAATGGGCGACAATGGGTGACACCGGAACTGGGCGGTGACACCGGGGACCCAGGGGGTGACAATGGGATTGTCCCACGTGGGGGGGACGCCCCAAATTCCCAGCCCCACCCCCCGGCCCTGGTGGCTCCTCCCCATGGGTGACCTCCCCTGGGGGGTGGCCTTGGGGACATTCCGGACACTTGGGGACACTCCAGGGACACTTGGGGACACTCAGGGACACTTGGGGACACTTCAGGGACACTCAGGGACATTCCAGGACACTCCGGACACTCGGGACACTTGGGACACTCCAGGGACACTCCAGGGACACTTGGGGACACTCCAGACACTTGGGGACACTCCAGGGACACTCCAGGGACACTCAGGGACACTCCGGACACTCAGTGACACTCAGAGACACTTGGGGACACTTGAGGACACTCCAGACACTCCAACCGCGCGGAGACACTTGGGGGCACTTGGAGACACTTGGGGACACTCAGGGACATTCAGGGGACACTCGGGGACATTTGGGGACACTTGGTGTCACTCGGGGCCATGGCGGGGCTGAAAATGGCCACGGGCGAGGAGATCGACGGATCCTTCGAGCTGCGGGTGGAGGTGGAGGAGGAGCGGGAGTGGGGCCAGGGACAGGAGTGGGGACAGGGACAGGGCCAGGGCCAGGAGTGGGGACAGGGACAGGAGTGGGGACAGGGCCTGGGACAGGGACAGGGACAGGGACAGGGACAGGGACAGGGCCCGGAGCCAGGGGAGCCGCGCGTGCTCGCGCTGTGCGTGACCGGGGACGTGACCATCGGGGAGCTCCTGCGCCGCATCCAGGACGCGCTCGGTGAGTGACCACGGCCGGGGACACGGGACTGACCATGGGAGTGACCATAGGAGTGACCACGGCCGGGGACACGGGACTGACCATGGGAGTGACCATAGGAGTGACCATAGGAGTGACCACAGGAGTGACCACGGCCGGGGACACGGGACTGACCATGGGAGTGACCATAGGAGTGACCCATAGGAGTGACCACGGCCTGGGGACACGGGACTGACCCATAGGAGTGACCCATAGGAGTGACCATAGGAGTGACCATAGGAGTGACCATGGCCGGGGACACGGGACTGACCATGGGACTGACCATAGGAGTGACCATAGAGTGACCATGGCCGGGGACACGGGACTGACCATGGGAGTGACCATGGCCAGGGACACGGGACTGACCATGGGACTGACCATAGGAGTGACCATAGGAGTGACCATAGGACTGACCATGGCCGGGGACACGGGACTGACCATGGGAGTGACCATAGGAGTGACCATAGGAGTGACCATAGGACTGACCATGGCCGGGGACACGGGACTGACCCATAGGAGTGACCCATAGGAGTGATCATAGGAGTGACCATAGGAGTGACCATGGCCGGGGACACGGGACTGACCATAGGAGTGACCCACAGGACTGACCCATAGGAGTGACCCATACACAGGACCGGCCATAGGAATGACCACAGAACTGACCATAGGAGTGACCCATACACAGAACTGACCTTAGGACTGACCATAGGACTGACCCATGGCCGGAGACCCAGAACTGACCCACAGGACTGACCCATACATGGAACTGACCCATAACCCTGGCCCATGGAACTGACCCATAGCCCTGACCCACAGAACTGACCCATAGAACTGACCCACAGAACTGACCCATAGCCCTGACCCATAGAACTGACCAATAGAACTGACCAATGCAACTGAGCCCTGGAACTGACCCTTAGAACTGACCCATGGAAGTAACCAATGGCCGGAGCCACACCACTGACCCACAGAACTGACCAATAGAACTGACCCACAGAACTGACCCATAGCCCTGACCCACAGAACTGACCCCTGGAACTGACCAATAGAACCCACCCATGGCCAGAGCCACACCACTGACCCTTAGCCCTGACCCATAGCCCTGACCCATGGCCGGAGCCGTGGCCGGCCCCACACCCCTGACCCCCCCCCACGCAGTGACCCTCAGGACAGTTGTCATTGATTGTCATTGTCCCCCGCCTGTCCCCCCCCGTCCCCCCCGGGCGGGGTTTGGGGTTTGAGGGGGGAGGGGGGGAAATCCGGCCCGGGGGGGGGTGGGGGAGGGGCAGCGCTTATCGGGGGGTCCCGGGGGTGCCCCCACTTCCCCCCCTCCCCCCAGGCCGGGCTGATAAGGGACCCGCGGGCTAAAAATAGCTCAGGGACCGCCCCTCCCCCCCCGGGGTGTGGGGTTGGGGGGGGGGAGGGGCAGGGTGAGACCCCTTGGGGCCCCCCGAGCCCCCAGACCCACCCTGAGCCCCAGAGACCCCCCCAGAGACCCCATTAAAGACCCCCCCCCCAACACCCCTGAAGCCCCCCCAAACCCCATTACAGCCCCCAGCCCCTCTGAAGCCCCCCCATAACCTCATTAAAGGCCCCTCTGACACCCCCCTAACCCCATCAGAGCCCCCCCAAAACCCCCCCAAAACCCCTTTAAAGCCCCCCCATACCCCCCAGAGCCCCAACAAAGCCCCCCCCCAAATCCCATTACAGCCTCCCAAGACCCCTCCAGACCCCCCCAAACCCCATTAAAGGCCCCCCCCAAACCTCCCCAACCCCTCCCAAACCCTATTACAGCCCCCCCAAATCCCCCCAAACCCCATTAAAGACTCCCCCTTCCCCCCCAAACCCCATTAAAAGTTCCCCCCGAGACCCCCGGAACCCCAATAAACTCCTCTCAAATCCCCTCCAAAACCCATTAAAGCCCCCCAGAACCCCATTACAGGCCCCCCCAAACACCCCCAAACCCCCCATTACAGCCCCCCCCGCTGTAGTTTAGGGGTACACCCAGCCCCCCCCCAGCTCCCCACACCTCCCCAGCCCCCCCGACACCCCCAGATCCCCAATAAACTCCTCTCAAATCCCCTCCAAGACCCCATTAACGCCCCCCGGAACCCCCTCAAACCCCCCTCAAACCCCATGAGGACCCTCCCCAGAGCCCCCCCGGTACCCCAGAGCCCCCCCTGACCCCGGTACCCGCAGCCCCCCGTTCCGGCCCGGCTCGGGCCGCGCTCTCTGGTGGGAGCAGCGGCGCCGGTGGCTGCTCAGCCCCTCCCCCACGCTGGACGCGCTGGGGGTGGGGGGGGGGTCCCGGCTCCGCTTCGCCCCCCGGCTCCGCCCCCTGCGCCTGCGCCTCCCCCCCGGGGGGGTCCTCAGGACGCGCCTGGACTGCGCCGAGACCCCCGGCAGGGCCGTGGCTGCGCTCTGCGCGCTGCTGGGTGCGTCTGGGGGCGGGATTGGGGTCTGGGGGCTTCCATTGGGGGTCTGGGGGCTTCCACTGGGGCTCTGCGCGCTGCTCGGTGCGTCTGGGGCCGGGATTGGGGTCTGGGGGCTTCCTCTGGGGGGTCTGGGGGCTGCTCGGTGCGTCTGGGGCCGGGATTTGGGTCTGGGGGCTTCCTGTGGGGGTCTGGGGGCTTCCATTGGGGCTCTGCGCACTGCTCGGGGGGTCTGGGGGCTTCCATTGGGGGTCTGGGGGTTGCTCGGTGCGTCTGGGGCCGGGATTTGGGTCTGGGGGCTTCCATTGGGGGTCTGGGGGTTGCTCGGTGCGTCTGGGGCCGGGATTTGGGTCTGGGGGCTTCCTGTGGGGCTCTGCGCGCTGCTCGGTGCGTCTGGGGCCGGGATTGGGGTCTGGGGGCGGGATTTGGGTCTGGGGGCTGCTCGGTGCGTCTGGGGCCGGGATTTGGGTCTGGGGCTTCTATTGGGGCTCTGCGGGCTCCTCGGTGTGTCTGGGGCCGACATTTGGGTCTGGGGGCTTCAGTGGGGTCTGGGGGTGTCCCTGGGGTGTCCTCAGGGATGATTTGGGTCTGGGGGCCCGGGAGGGATCCCTGGGGTGTGATTTGGGTCTGGGGGTGTCCCTGGGGGGGGTTCCGGGTGTGATTTGGGTCTGGGGTCCCGCAGGGCTCCCCCACCCCGAGGAGCTCTCGCTGCTATGGCCGGAGCGGGTGGGGGAGGGGCGCGACCCCCCCCCGCCCCCCCCCCGACCTGGACCTGACCCACCTGAGACCAGGTGAGGGGGGGGAGGGGCGGGGGGGGAGGGGGAGAGGGCGCCGGACCCCCCCCCAGTCCCCCTGCCCCCGCCCCCTCACTGCTCTGGCCCCGCCCCCTCATCCCTCTGGCCCCTCCCCACCCGCTCTGGCTCCTCCCCCAGGCTCCGCCCCTCCCCCCGAGTTGCTCCGCCCCCTGTGCAGTCTCAGGATTGGGGGGGCGGGGCCCCCCAGGACCCCCCCGGAGCCCCCCCGGGACCCCCTGGAGCGACGGGCGCGGCTGCACGCGCGGTGAGGGGCGGGGCTTAACGGGGGCGGGGCTTAACGGGGGCGGGGCTTAACGGGGGCGGGGCTTAACGGGGGCGGGGGCTTGGGGCGTGGTTTGGATGCGGTTTGGGGATGTGGCTTGAGTTTGGGTGTGTCTGGAGGCGTGGTCCGAAGTTTGGGTGTAGTTGGGGGCGTGGTCTGGCTGTGGGTGTGGTTGGGGCGTGGTTTGAGCTTCTGGGCGGGGTCTGGCGTTTGGGTGTGACTTTAGGGGCGTGGTTTGAGTTTGGGTGTGGTTTGGGGCGTGGTCTGGCTGTGGGGTGTGGTTGGGAGGCGTGGTTTGAGCGTCTGGGCAGGGTCAGGTGTTTGGGTGTGGTTGCGGGGCGTGTTTTGTTTGGGTGTGGTTGCGGGGCGTGGTTTGGTGTTCGGGTGTGGTTTGGGGGCGTGGTTTGGCGGTTGGGTGTGGTCGGGGCGTGTCCGAGCGCAGGCCCCGCCCCCTCAGCTGGTTGGACGTGGGGCGGTCCCTGCTGGAGCAGGGCGTGGCCGCCGAGCAGGAGCTGGAGCTGTGCTTCAAATACCCCTGCGCTATGGGGGAGCCTCAGGTACCCCAAAAACACCCCAAAAACCACCCCAAAATACACCTGGGGACCCCAAAACCACACCTGGGGACCCCCAAAACCCCTGTGCCCTCGGGGAGCCACAGGTACCCCCAAAAACAGTCCCAAAAACACCCCAAAATCCACCTGGGGACCCCAAAATATCCCCCAGGGACCCCCAAAACCCCTGTGCCCTCGGGGAGCCACAGGTGCACCCAAAAATACCCCAAATCACCCTCAGGGACCCCAAAATACACGTGGGAACCTCCCCAAATACTCCTGTGCTATGGGGGAGCCACAGGTGCACCCAAAAATACCCCAAAATCACCCCAAAATCCACCTGGGGACCCCAAAACCACACCTGGGGACCTCCCACAACCCCTGTGAGCTCGGGGAGCCACAGGTACCCCCAAAACCAGCCCCAAAATCCACCTGGGGACCCCAAAATCACCCCCAGGGGACCCCCAAAATCCACCCAAATACCCCTGTTCTATGGGGGAGTCACAGGTACCCCCCAAAAACACCCCCAAAATACCCCAAAATCCACCTGGGGACCCCCAAAATCACCCCCAGGAACCCAAAACGCCCCTGGGGCTGGTCCGTGGGGGTTGCGGCCCCCGCAGATATTTTGGGGGGTCCTTGGGTGGGGTTTTGGGGGTCTCTGTGAGTCTCAGCCCCCCCGAACCCTTTGGGGGTCTCTGGGCGGGGGTTTGGGGGTTTCTTGGGTGGGGTTTTGGGGGTCTCTGGAGGTCTCAGCTCCCCTGAACCCTTTGGGGGTCTCTGGGCGGGGTTTGGGGGTCTCTTGGGTGGGGTTTTGGGGGTCTCTGGGGGTCTCAGCCCCCCCGAACCCCCCTTTGTGCCCCCAGCCGGGGCTGCACTCGCAGCTGCTGCAGGCGCAGGCGCTGGGATCCATCCTGGCCGAGGAGATCGAGTGCAGCGAGGAGCAGGGGCTGCGCTTTGCTGCCCTGCAGGTACCCCCAAAACCCCCACAAAATACCCCCAAAAACCAGCCCAAAAACAGCCCAAAACCAGCCCAAAAACAGTCCCAAAAAATTTCAAAATAAACACCCCAAAAACCCCACAAAAATACCCAAAAACAGGCCAAAACCAGCCCCAAAACAGCCCTAAAACACCCTCAAAAAACCCCAAAAATAAACACCCCAAAACCACCCACAAAACCGCTCAAAACCACCCCAAAACCGCTCCGAAAATACCCAAAACCACCCCAAAAAAACCCAAAAATAAACACCCCAAAAACACCCACAAAACAGCTCAAAACCACCCAAAACCACCCTGAAAATACCCAAAAAAACACCCCAAAACCACCCTGAAAATACCCAAAAAAACACCCCAAAACCACGAAAATAAACACCCCAAAAAACAGCCCAAAAACACCCCAAAAACATTTTCAAAAAACCCAAAAATAAACACCCCCAAAACTAAACCCCCTAAAACAGCCCAAAACCAGCCCAGAAACAACAACCCTAAAAACACCCCAAAATTAGCACAGAAACAGGAAAAAACACCCCAAAAACAGCCAGAAAGCACCCCAAAACCAGCCCAAACCAGCCCAAAAGCAAACACCCTAAAACCACCTCAAAAACTCCCAAAACCACCCCAAAACCATCCCCAAACCCATCCCCAAAACACTCCCAAAAAACCAAAACTGAACGCACCAAAACCACCCCACAAATACCCCAAAACCACTCCCCAAACCAGCCCAAAACTGCCCCAAAACTCCCCAAAAGCAAAAACCCCAAACTGCCCCCAAAACATCTCAAAATACCCCCAGAACACCCAAACCTCCCCAAAATCTCCCGGTACCCAAAAATCTCCCAAAGCCCCTCCCTGGATCCCCCGGGACCCCCTCAAAAACCCCCAAAACCCCCCCGGGATCCCCCTGAGAACCCCAAAAATGCCCCAAAATCCTCCCGGGACCCCCAAAATCCCCCTTGGGGACCCCCCCAGGACCCCAAAAATCCCCCTGGGACCCCCTGGGATCACCCCAAAACATCCCCTGGGACCCCCTTGAAGCCCCCAAAACCCCCCGGGACCCCTCCCCAAATCCCCCGTGCCCCTCCCCCCCCCAGTAACCTGATCGAGGGGCCGGGAGTGGGGGGAGGGGCGCGACCCCCAGGACCCCCCCGAGCCCCCCCCCGGACCTGGAGGAGGCCCTGGAGAAACTGGAGCTGAGCCTGGGGGGGGGCGCGACCCCCCGAGACCCCCGGGCAGGGGGTGAGACTGGGGGGGACTGGGAGGGACTGGGAGGGACTGGGAGGGACTGGGGGGGAAATTGGGGATACTGGGGGGTAACTGGGGGCACTGGGAGGGACTGGGAGGGACTGGGAGGGAGTGGGGGGGGGGAACTGGGGATACTGGGAGGGACTGGGAGGGGGATTGGGGGGCACTGGGGGGCGGCAGGACCCCTGGGCAAGGGGTGAGACTGGGGGAACTGCAGGGACTGGGAGGGAAATTGGGGATACTGGGGGGACTGGGAGGGACTGGGAGGGTACTGGGAGGGTACTGGAGCACTGGGAGGGGAATTGGGGATACTGGGAGGGACTGGGAGGGGAACTGGGGGTACTGGGAAGGGGATTGGGGGGCACTGGGAGGGGAACTGGTGGCACTGGGGGGCACTGGAAGGAACTGGGGACACTGAGGGCAGAACTGGGGACACTGGGAGGGGAATTGGGGGCACTGGGAGGGGACTGGGGGCACTGGGGGGGCACTGAGGGGTCTGGGGGTCCCCAGGAGGAGCCCGGAGCCCCCCCCGAGCTGGACGAGGAGCTGGAGATCCACAGGTACCCCCAGACCCCTCCCCGGGCCCAAATTTGGGGTCTCCCTTGGACCCCTCCCCGATTTTGGGGTCCCTGTAGCCATTTTGGGATCCCCATTAAACTCCCCTCCCCGATTTTGGGGTCCCTGTGCCCATTTCTGGGCTCCCCCCCTGACATTTTTGGGGTCCCCCTGACATTTTTGGGGTGCCCAGGGGGTCCCCGTGGCCGTTCCGGGGGTCCCGCCCTGCCCGGGCCGCGCTCTCGGGGTCGTCGCTGTCGCTCTGGAGCCCCCCAGGCTCGGGGGGACCCCAACAGCAGCTGAACCTGCGAGGTGAGACCCCAAAACTGCCCCAGAGACCCCAAAAATCCCCCCAGAGACCCCAAAAATCCACCCTGGACCCCCCAAAACCACCTGGGACCCCCGAAACCTCCCCAGGACCCCCCAGATTCCACCCAGACCCCCCCCAAATCACCCTCAGACCCCTCCCAGCACCCCAAATCCCCAGTTGGGGATCTCTGGGACTCCCCCAGGAACCCCAAATTTCCCCCCAGGGACCCCCCAAATCAACCCCCAGACCCCCCAGCACCCCCAAATCCCCCCAGGATCTCCCTCAGGGCCCCCAAATCCCCCCTGGGCTCCCTTTAAGCCCCCCCAGACCCATTTGGGGCGCCCCCATTTCCCTTCCTGTGCCCCCTTTTCCCCCCCAAACCCCTCGGGGACCCCCCCTGACCCCCCCATTTTCCCATTTCCCCCCCCCCAGGATGTGAGGTGATCCCCCAGGTGGATTTGGGGGCGCAGAAATTCCACATCAAACTCGGGGTGCCCTCCCCGGGGGGGGCCAGCGAGACCCTGCTGCGCTGCCGTGATGTGGGTGGGGGTCCCGGGGGGTCCTGGGGGTTTTGGGGGATTTTGGGGGGGTCCTGGAGGGTTTTTGGGGGGCTCTGGGAGGGTCCTGAAGGGGTCCTGGGGTGTTTTTGGGGGGATCACAGGGGGTTTGGGGGGGTCCTGGGGGGTTTTGGGGGGGATTCTCAGGGGTCCTGGGGGGTTTTGGGAGGTTCTGGGGGGATCCTGGGGGGTCTTGATGGATTTTTGGGTGTTCTGGGGGGGGTCCTGGGGTATTTGGGGGGGTCCTGGGGGGTTTTTAGGGGGTCCTGGAGGGGTCTGGGGTGAAGGGAATTGGGAATTGGGGGGGGGTCCCATGGGGATTTGAGGGTCCTGGGAGGTTTGGGGGAATTTGGGGGATTTTTTTTATTGGGGGGGGTGGGCTCGAGAATTCCTGTGAGATTTTGGGGGTTTCAGTGATTTTGGGGGGGTCTCTATGGGAATTTTGGGGAGGTTTGATGAACCCAGGGGATTTTGGGATTTCGGTGATTTTTGGGGGGGTCTCTATGGGAATTTTGGGGAGGTTTGACGAACCCAGGGGATTTTGGGGATTTCAGTGATTTTTGGGGGGGGGTCTCTATAGGAATTTTTTGGGGGGGGTCCTCACTGTTTCCCCCCCTCTTCCGCAGGCCCCCCAATTCTCCCGCTGGCTCTGCGGCCTCCAGGCGGCCTCGGGGTGGGGGTCCCCATCATCTGGGGGGGGGTCCCCATTATTGGCAGGGGGGTCCCCATCACCCGCGGCGCTGCGGGGCGCAGATCCGGGGGGTCCTGGGGGTCCTGGGGGTGCAGCCGGATGGGGGGGACCCCCCCGGGACCCCCGCCCGGGCCCCCCCGGACCCGCGGCTGCTGCTGCCCCCCCGGCTCCAGCGCAGGATCAAAGGCAAGGAGGTAACGGGACCCCCCCCCCCCCAGAGACCCCTCCTCATATTTAACCCCATCCAGAGACCCCTCCTCACATTTAACCCCATCCAGAGACCCCTCCTCATATTTGACCCATCCAGAGACCCCTCCTCACATTTAACCCCATCCAGAGACCCCTCCTCACATTTAACCCATCCAGAGACCCCTCCTCACATTTAACCCCATCCAGAGACCCCTCCTCATATTTAACCCCATTCAGAGACCCCTCCTCATATTCAAACCCATCCAGAGACCCCTCCTCATATTTAACCCCATTCAGAGACCCCTCCTCACATTTAACCCCATCCAGAGACCCCTCCTCACATTAAACCCATCCAGAGACCCCTCCTCACATTTAACCCCATCCAGAGACCCCTCCTCATATTTAAACCCATCCAGAGACCCCTCCTCATATTCAACCCCATCCAGAGACCCCTCCTCATATTTAACCCCCCAGAGACCCCTCCTCACATTTAACCCCATTCAGAGACCCCTCCTCATATTTAAACCCATCCAGAGACCCCTCCTCATATTTAAACTCCTCCTCCAGTCCCCCCAATTCGACCTCTCAGAGCCCCCCCCCCCATTTTAATCCCCCCCAGAGACCCCTCCCCACATTTTAACCTCTCCCCCCTTCATTTAACCCCCCCCCCCGCCAAGGGACCCCTCCCCATATTTTAGCTCCTCCCAGGGACCCTTCCCCACATTTTAACCCCTCCCAGAGACCCCTCCTCACATTTTAACCCCCCCGTATTTTACCCCCCTCCATATTTTACTTCCCCATTTTAACCCCCCCATTTTTACCCCCCATTTTTACCCCCCATTTTTTGCCCCCCCATTTCAAACCCCCCCCCCGATATTTTTGCCCCCCTCCCCCAGTTCCCCCAGCTCCTCCTCCGGGTTTTGCTCCGGGAGGGGCCCCTGAGCCCCCCCCAGGCCCGGCTGCGCTTCCTGCAGGCCTGGAGGGCCCTGCCCGACTTCGGCCTCGGAGTCTTCATCGTGCGGTACTGGGGGAAACTGGGGGCACTGGGATGGACTGGGAGGGACTGGGGGGAACTGGGGGGCACTGGGATGGACTGGGGGCAACTGGGATCAAACTGGGAGGGACTGGGGGCGGGGATTTGGGGGGGTCCTGCAGGTTCCGGGCTCTGTTCCCATCCCTGGTTCTGGTATTTTGGGGGTTCCCATCGCTGGTTTTGGGGTTCCCATTGGGATTTTTGGGGCTGGTTTTGGGGGTGCCAGGTTCCGGGGGCTCTGAGCTGGTTTTGGGGGGGTTCCCATCGCTGTTTTTGGGGTTCCCATTGATATTTTGGGGTCCCAGGTTCCGGGGCGGTCTCGGGTGGTTTTGGGGTGTTCCCATCGCTGTTTTTGGGGTTCCCATCGTTGTTTTTGAGGTTCCCATTGTTGGTTTTGGGGTCCCAGGTTCCGGGGGGGCTCTCAGGTGTATTTGTGGTGTTCCCATCGCTGTTTTTGGGGTTCCCATTGTTATATTTGGGGTCCCAGGTTCCGGGGCGCTCTCGGGTGGTTTTGGGGTGTTCCCATCGCTGTTTTTGGGGTTCCCATCGCTGTTTTTGGGGTTCCCATTGTTGGTTTTGGGGTTCCCATTGTTGTTTTTGGGGTCCCATCCCCGTTTTTGGGGGTCCCAGGTTCCAGGGCGCCCCCCGGGACGAGGCTCTCGCCGTGGGGCTCTCGCGGCTGCTGCGGCTCCCGCTGGGCTCGGGCGGCGCCGCCCGGAGCTGGAGCCAGAGGGAGCTGAGACAGTGGGACGTGAACTGGGACAGCGGGCAGGTAACTGGGATGGACTGGGATGGACTGGGATGGACTGGGATGGACTGGGACAGCGGGCAGGTAACTGGGATGGACTGGGAATGGACTGGGAATGGACTGGGAATGGACTGGGATGGACTGGGACAGCGGGCAGGTAACTGGGATGGACTGGGAATGGACTGGGATGGACTGGGAATGGACTGGGAATGGACTGGGATGGACTGGGACAGCGGGCAGGTAACTGGGATGGACTGGGAATGGACTGGGAATGAACTGGGACAGCGGGCAGGTAACTGGGAGGGACTGGGAATGGGAACTGGGAGCACTGGGAGCACTGGGAGGCCCCGGGCAGCCCCTCTGGGATTTTGGGGAGGGGTCTCAGCCCATCGGGATTTTTGGGGAGGGGCCTTGGTCCCTCTGGGGTCTTGGGGAGGGGTCTCAGCCCCTGTCTGGGATTTGAGGAGGGGTCTCGGTGGTGTTGATTCGGGGCGGGGTCTCGGGGATGCTGTTTGGGGGCGGGGTCTCGGGGATGCTGTTTGGGGGCGGGGTCTCAGGGATGCTGTTTGGGGGCGGGGTCTCACGCCCCGCCCCTCGCCCCGCCCCCTGGCAGGTGCGGCTGTGGCTCAGCGGTGACGTCACGCTGGGGCTGCGCGTGCTCTCCGCCCCCCCCCGCGTCCTGCACCAGTTCCTGGGGGGGGGCCCTGGCCCTGGGGGGGCCCCCCCGCGACCCCCGCGAGCTGCAGCGGCTCCTGGAGGGGGGGCTGGACCCCTGAGACCCCCCCGGGGCTGGCACCCGACATTTGTCACCGTCAGTGTCCCCGAATTGTCACCCCCGACCCCCCCCACACACACAAAAACTCAACAGCACCCGGTGCTCGGTGTTTGATTGGGGGGGGGCTTGGAACCCCCGAAATTATTGTGGGAGGGGTCTGGAGCCCCATGAATCCTCATGGAGGGGTCTTAAAAACCCCAAAATCCTCGTGGGAGGGGCTTGGAGCCCCCAAATTCTTATGGGAGGGGTTTAAACCCCCCCAAATTTTTTGTGGAGGGGCTCGGACCCCTAAAATCCTTGTGGGAGGGATCTTGGACACCCCAAATCTTTGTGGAAGGGGTTTGGACCCCCCACGATTATTGTGGGAGGGGCTTGGACACCCCAAAATCTTTGTGGGAGGGGTTTAGACCCCCCCCCAAATCCTTTGGAGAAGTGTTTGGAATCCCCCAAATCCTTTTGGGAGGGGTTTGGACCCCTGCAATTTTTGTGGGGAGGGGTTTGGGGTCTCCCAAATCCTTGTGGGAGGGGTTTGGAGTCCCTAAATTATTGTGGGAGGGGCTCAGCCCCCCCCCCCATCCCACCCATGGGGTCCCACCCCATCCTCGAGGGAGGCTCTCACACAGTGGGACCCCAAAATCCCCCCCAAAATGCCCGAAATTCCCCCCAAAATACCCCCAAGCCCCCAAAAATGTCCCCAAATCCCCCCCAAAAATGTCCCTAAATGTCCCCAAAATGTCTCCAAATCCCCCCCAAAATCCCCCTAAAATGTCCCAAATCCCCCCCAAAATGCACCCTAAAATGTCCCAAATCCCCCAAATCCCCTCAAAATGCCCTTAAATCTCCCCCCAGTCTCCCAACCCCCCCCCAAAATGTCTCCAAACCCCCCCAAAATGTCCCCAAATCCCCCCAAAATGTCCCCAAATCCCTCCCAAAACGTCCCCAAACCCCCCCAAAATGTCCCCAAGCCCCCCCAAAGCACCCCAGAGCCCCAGCCCGGTCTCTGCTCCGCTCTTTATTGGGGGTGGCAGCGCCCCAGAACCGACGGGGGGTGCAGGGGGGGGGGGAAGGGGCGGCACCCCCAGACCCCCCCCCCCCCCAAAGGGCTGGGGGTGTCCCCGGGGGGGGCCCAGGGGGGTCCCCGGGGGCTTTGGGGGGGTCACCGGATGGCGATGAGCCCCACGTCCATCAGCTTCTGGATCTTCTGCGCTATCAGGGGGTTCTTGAGGTGCCTGGGGTGGGGACACGGCGGGGTCAGGGGGTGGGGACAGCGGGGACACCTTGGGGACACCCTGGGGACACCTCGGGGACACCCTGGGGACAGTTTGGGACCAGCTGGGGACATTTTGGGGACACTCTGGGACAGTTGGGGACTCTGTGGGATGGTTGGGGACACCATGGGGACACCGTGGGATGGTTGGGGACACACTGGGGACAGTTTGGGACCAGCTGGGGACATTTTGGGGACACTTTGGGGACAGCTGGGGACACCCTGGGGTGGTTGGGGACACGCTGGGGACAGCGGGGACACCTCGGGGGACACCCTGGGGATACCCTGGGATGGCTGGGGGACACACCGGAGACAGTTTGGGACCAGCTGGGGACATTTTGGGGACAGTTGGGAGACACCCTGGGGACACCCTGGGATGGTTGGGGACACTGTGGGGACACCTCGGGGACACCATGGGATGGTTGGGGACACTGTGGGGACAGTTTGGGACCAGCTGGGGACATTTTGGGGACACTCTGGGACAGTTGGGGACAGTGTGGGGACAATGGGAACACTGTGGGGACAGCTGGGGACACCCTGAGATGGTTGGGGACCGTGTGGGGACGCTTTGGGGGCACCATGGGACACTGTGGGGACACTGTGGGGATACAGTTGGGGACACCCTGGAGTAGTTAGGGACATGTTGGGGACATGTTGGGGACACTCTGGGACAGTTGAGGACACTTTGGGGACAGCTGGGGACACTGAGTACCCTCGGTACCACCCCCACCACCTTGGGGACCCTCAGTGCTATCCCCACCCACCTTGGGGACACTCACTGCCACTGGTTTGGGGACCCTCAGTGCCACCCCCACCACCTCAGAGACCCTCAGTGTCACCCCCCTCCATGCCCTGGTGACCCTTGGGGATCCCCAGTGCCACCCCCGGTGTCACTGACTCGCTCAGGGCCTGCGGGTCCTTCTGCATCTGCTCCAGGATCAGCCTCATGGGGAGCCCCCATCTTGGGGACCCTCACCCTGCCCTGCCTTGGTGACCCTCAGTGCCACCCCTGCCCTGCCCTGGTGACCCTTGGGGACCCTCAGTGTCACCCCCCGGTGTCACTGACTCGCTCAGGGCCTGCGGGTCCTTCTGCATCTGCTCCAGGATCAGCCTCATGGCCGGGTCCCCCATGATCTGCTGCACCTCGGGGTCGGCCAGGGCCCGGCGCCGCAGCTCCTCAGGGGGCTCCGAGCGCTGCTGCTGCCCCCGCACGCAGCGACGCAGCCCCTCCGCAGCCTCCTGGGGGGGACAGGGACATGGGGGGGTCACCAAGGACATGGGAGTGTCACAGGGATCAGGGGGGTGTCACAGGGATTGGGGTGTCACAGGGGACACAGGGATCAGGGGGCTCCGAGCGCTGCTGCTGCCCCCGCACGCAGCGACGCAGCCCCTCCGCAGCCTCCTGGGGGGGACAGGGACATGGGGGACACAGGGGGTCACAGGGGGTCACAGGTGACACAGGTGTCACAGGGATTGGGGTGTCACTGGGGGCACAGGGACGGGGGGCTCTGAGTGCTGATGCTGCCCCCGCACGCAGCGACGCAGCCCCTCCGCAGCCTCCTGGGGGACACAGGGGACACAGGTGTCACAGGGGGTCACAGGTGACACAGGTGTCACAGGGATTGGGGTGTCACTGGGGACACAGGGATCAGGGGGCTCCGAGCGCTGCTGCTGCCCCCGCACGCAGCCCTTCTGCAGCCTCCTGGGGGACACAGGGGGTCACCAAGGGCATGGGAGTGTCAAAGGGATCAGGGGGTGTCACAGGGATTGGGGTGTCACAGGTGTCACAGGGACTGGGGGGCTCCGAGCGCTGCTGCTGCCCCCGCACGCAGCGACGCAGCCCCTCCGCAGCCTCCTGGGGGGGACAGGGACATGGGGGACACAGGGTGACACAGGGGGTCACAGGTGACACAGGTGTCACAGGGATTGGGGTGTCACAGGTGTCACAGGGACTGGGGGGCTCCGAGCGCTGCTGCTGCCCCCGCACGCAGCGACGCAGCCCCTCCGCCACCTCCTGGGGGACACAGGGACATGGGGGGGTCACAGCGTGACACAGGGGGTCACCAAGGACATGCTGGGGGTCACAGGTGACACAGGTGTCACAGGGATTGGGGTGTCACTGGGGGCACAGGGACTGGGGGGCTCTGAGCGCTGCTGCTGCCCCTGCACGCAGCCCCTCTGCAGCCTCCTGGGGACACAGGGATCAGGGGGTGTCACAGGTGTCACAGGGGTTGGAAGTGTCACAGGTGTCACAGGGATCAGGGGGGTGTCACAGGGATTGGGGGGGCTCTGAGCGCTGCTGCTGCCCCCACACGCAGCCCCTCCGCAGCCTCCTGGGGGACAGGGACATGGGGGGGTCACCAAGGACATGGGAGTGTCACAGGGATCAGGGGGTGTCACAGGGATTGGGGGTGTCACAGGGATTGGGGGGGACAGAGGTGTCACAAAGGATCAGGGGGTGTCACAGGGATTGGGGGTGTCACAGGGATTGAGGGGGACACAGGGATTGGGGGGGACAGAGGTGTCACAAGGATCAGGGGGTGTCACAAGGATCAGGGGGTGTCACAGGGGTTGGGGTGTCACAGCTGTCACAGGGGTCAGGGGGCTCAGTGCCGCTGTCCCTCTGCAGCCTCTGGGGGACACAGGGGGGGCACAGGGGGACACAGGGGGGGCACAGAGGGTCCAGGGGGGTCACCAAGGGGCACAGGGGGGTCCCGGGGGTGGCAGCCCCACCTTGCAGGAGGGGTCGAGGTCCAGGGCGCGCTGATAAACCTCCATGGCCTTGGTGTAATCGCGCATGGCCTCGAGCGCCGCCGCCTTCCGCGTGTAACCCTTGACTGGGGACAGCGGGGACAGAGGGGACAGAGGGACATGGGGGGGACAGCAGGGACAGAGGGGGACATGGAGGGGACATGGGGGGGATGGGGGGGACATGGAGGGGACAGGGGGACATGGGGGGGACATGGAGGGGAACAGGGGAGCATGGGGGACATGGGGACATGGTGGGGATATGGGCATGGAGGGGAACAGGGGAGCATGGGGGACATGGGGACATGGTGGGGATATGGGGACACAGGGGACAGCAGGGACAGAAAGGGACAGGGGGGACACAGGGACAGGGGCACATGGAGGGGACACAGGGACAATGGGGGGACATTGGTACAGTGGGGCCGCAGGGACAGGGAGGATGTGGGCACAGATGGGGGACAAAGGGACAGGCAGAAGGACACAGGGACACACAGGTTCAGGAGGATGGACACAGGGACAGGAGGGGACACGGGGACAGGAGGGGGACACAGGGACATGTGGGGGGACAGGTAGAACAGGAGGAGGAAGGCACAGGCAGAGAAGGAGGAGGGTGAGGATGATGAGGGCACAGCAGAGGAAGGGCAGGGCCTGTCCCCTGCTGTCCCCTCGTGTCCCCACTCACTGAAGTGGGCTCCAGCCGGATGCACTCCTCGCAGTCCTGGGGAAAAAGGGGGGGTCAGGAGGACCCTCCAAACCATCCCCAAACCCCCCAAAATCCTCCAAACCATTCCCAGGACCCCCCAAACCATTCCCAAACCACCCCCAAACCCCCCAAACCATCCCCAAACCATTCCCAAATCCCCCAAACCAGTCCTAAACCCCCCAGGACCCCCAACCAGTCCCAAACCCACCAGGACACCCCGAACCATTCCCAAACCCCCCCAAACCATTCCCAAACTCCCCAAACCATTCCCAAACCATCCCCAAACCCCCCCAAACCATTCCCAAACCCCCCAAAACCCCCCAAACCATCCCCAAACCCCCCAAACCATTCCAAACCCCCCCAAAACCATTCCCAAACCCCCCCAAATCCTCCAAA